AACATTATATTTCTTTATATGCATGAATTTTACTTGCATTTTATTATATTTAATTATCTGATTTAATTTGATGGATATTTAGATGAATGGTGGAGATATTTTGGTTTTGATGCTCCTAATTTGCAAAAGTTAGCAATAAGAATTCTTAGTCAGACAGCTTCTTCATCTGGATGTGAGCGCAATTGGAGTGTATTTGAAAGAATTCATACCAAGAAGAGGAATAGACTAGAGCATCAACGACTTAATGATCTTGTCTTTGTTCACTACAATTTACGTTTGCAACATAGGTGAGTATCACAATAATTTAGTTTAGTTTGTAACAAGTTACATGTTTTTTTACTTTTTTTTTTTAATGTACAGGTTAAAAAGAAAAAGATCATATGATCCTGTTGACTACGAATCTATTGATAAGACAGAGTTTTGGATAGTGGAAGAAGAAGAAGCTGGTGAACTTGAATATGATGAATTAGAGAATGCCCTTGCTGAAGAATATCCAAAAGATCAAGAAGATAATAACGCTGAAGATTCTAATGGTAACTTTGATGATGACTTCACTATGCCACCTGAAGAGTACGAATGGAATGAGGGTAGAGATAACTAAAATTGGTTATAATGAACTCTTGTTAGTGTTTTTTTTTAAGTTTTATCACTTTTATTTGGATTTAAAAATTTTAATCACTTTATTATTTTTGTTAAATTTTATAATATTTTTAAACATTATTATTATTTTATATTTATATTTATGAAACTATATTATTTATATAAGTACATTTTAAACAAAAAAACTATCGACCCGTGGTCGAACCCGGTTGACCCGGTGACCCGGTGACCCAGAAGGTAGTCCGGTTCGCTTTCCGGTTCGGGTTTAAAAACATTGGTTATCTGGTTTTGCATGTCAGAGAGAATGTGGTCTCAAGATTACAATCATTAGTCATGACGATCTAATCAGCTCTAATAGTTCACTCTTTCTCAACTTTGAGTATCCTTTGATTCCTCTATTTTTTGCAACTTCTTTGAGCTCTGCAAGTTTCATAGTTTCTATCAATGAAACTTTCTCTTCCTTCTTTGTCATTTCTCCGAAAGCTTTATCGCTGATTGATACTGGAAGCTTACCTCTTGGACCTGAGGCAGAATGTCTCTTTGGTGGCTCTTGCTTCACATTAGTATCTCCTACAGTTAAAGAGTTGGTTATTATTACAGATGACAAGAACATGGATTTGGGATTTGATCGAGAATAGTTGATTACCCTCAGTTTTCTTTCTTGATTTCTCAAGAACATCAAGAATAGCTTTGGTCAGCGGCTTGCTCCCAGAAGACTCATCACTGTTCTTCTCTTCAATTCCCCGAGATTCACCTTTAGAGATTGAAGATTGAATTCGCTTCAAGAGAGAAATGATCTCCTCTTGGTTCGATTTACTCGGGTTTGACGTTCCTCTATTAGACTGTTTCTTGCAACAAACATATCCTTTCTTGGCTCTCCCCATTAAAGACAAAGAAGAAGCTTTATCTTGAAGCATGATTCTTGAAAGACTCTGCTCAAAGCACGAGTTTTGCAACACAAACCGCGGCGAAGGTGTATCTGCTATCTGTCTAAATTCAGTTAGCTGTACTGTACAGAAACAAAAGAATGGTTTTGGTAGTTCCTAGTGTTCTATCTATCATTTACTCAAAAGTCTAGATTCCGAGAGGAGAAATTCAGAAATCTGTAACTCAAGGGAAGTTTCGATTACCTCGAACAGGAAGATGATTGGCTCTCATGAGTCCTTGTCTGATCAACGGGTAAGCACCATGAAAATGAAGAGCCAAGTCCATAGCTTTTTTTAGTTCCTGACGTTCCCTAAAAAAATCTGATTCTCTCTCTCTCTCTCTCTATTTGGTCTCTTTCCTCACAACAACAAAACAAAAATTTATCCTCAAAACAAAAAAAAAAACCTCACCTTTATATCTTTGGGGTCCAATTACAGCAACGCAGAAACTTGTGGAGGATAAAAATCTAAACTTTTGAAGTTTATTTTAGAAACATCGTTCTCAAGTGCTGTTTCACTATTATACTGAGAAATTTACTTTACAGAAGCATTCAATCATTTTAATCTTCCCGCGCTTTCTCGTTTGATGAGTTAGAGGAAGATAAGATAAATGGCGATGTTGGTGGCGAATTTGACTACCTCAAGCTTTTGTTTATTCTCCTCTCACCGGTTCCTAACTCAGAAGGAGAGAGTAGTAAGCGACGGTAGAGTTCGAAAAGATGTGATTTTTAACCGAGCCTCGTTGAGAACAGTCTCAGATTGTTCGGATTCGATTTCGACGTTTGATCGTAGCGCAACGGATGCGAACACTCGGTTACGGAGATACTGTGAATCAGGGAATCTAGAGAGTGCCGTGAAGCTTCTTCGCGTATCTGGGAAATGGGATATTGATCCGAGAACTCTATGCTCTGTTCTTCAACTCTGTGCGGATTCGAAATCGCTCAAGGGTGGTAAAGAAGTTGATTCCTTTATTCGTCGTAATGGGTTTGTGATAGATTCGAGTTTGGGATCGAAACTCGCGCTTATGTACACAAATTGTGGGGATTTGAAAGAAGCGAGTCGAGTTTTTGATCAGGTTAAGATTGAGAAAGCTTTGTTCTGGAATATTTTGATGAATGAGCTTGCAAAATCTGGTGATTTCAGTGGGAGTATTGGATTGTTTAAGAAGATGATGAGTTTGGGTGTTGAAATGGATAGCTATACTTTTTCTTGTATTTCAAAGAGCTTTTCGTCTTTGCGGAGTGTTAATGGAGGAGAGCAGCTTCATGGTTATATTCTGAAATCAGGGTTTGGAGATCGGAACTCTGTTGGGAACTCTCTGGTTGCGTTTTATTTGAAGAATCAGAGAGTTGATAGTGCACGTAAGGTGTTTGATGAAATGACTGAGAGGGATGTGATATCTTGGAATTCTATCATTAATGGTTACGTATCAAACGGATTAGCTGAACAAGGGCTATCTGTTTTCGTGCAGATGTTGGTTTCAGGAGTAGAGATTGATTTGGCTACTATTGTTAGCGTCTTTGCAGCCTGTGCTGATTCCCGTTTGATCTCATTAGGTAGAGCTGTCCACGGTTTTGGAATGAAAGCTTGTTTCAGTAGAGAAGATCGGTTTTGTAATACGTTGCTTGATATGTATTCTAAGTGCGGGGATCTTGACTCTGCTAAAGCTGTGTTTACAGAGATGAGTGATCGAAGTGTTGTGTCATATACTTCCATGATTGCTGGTTATGCTAGGGAAGGTCTGGCTGGTGAAGCTGTGAAGCTATTTGGAGAAATGGAGAAAGAAGGTATTAGTCCTGATGTTTATACCGTCACTGCGGTTTTAAACTGCTGTGCCCGTAATCGGTTATTAGATGAAGGTAAGCGAGTCCATGAGTGGATAAAGGAAAACGATATGGGATTTGATATCTTTGTATCAAATGCTCTGATGGATATGTATGCGAAATGTGGAAGCATGCAAGAAGCAGAGCTAGTGTTCTCTGAGATGCGCGTGAGAGATATTATCTCGTGGAACACTGTTATTGGTGGGTACTCAAAGAACTGTTACGCCAATGAAGCTCTAAGCCTGTTCAATTTGCTGTTGGAAGAAAAGCGATTTAGTCCTGATGAGAGAACTGTGGCTTGTGTTCTTCCAGCTTGTGCAAGTCTTTCTGCTTTCGATAAAGGCAGAGAAATCCATGGTTACATCATGAGAAACGGGTATTTCTCAGATCGGCATGTTGCTAATTCACTGGTAGACATGTACGCGAAATGTGGAGCATTGTTACTCGCACGCATGCTCTTTGATGATATTGCTTCCAAGGATCTTGTTTCTTGGACAGTGATGATAGCTGGATATGGGATGCACGGGTTTGGAAAAGAAGCAATAGCTCTTTTCAATCAAATGAGAGAAGCGGGTATTGAGGCTGACGAAATATCGTTTGTATCTTTGTTGTATGCTTGTAGCCATTCAGGATTAGTGGATGAAGGATGGAGAATCTTTAACATCATGAGACATGAATGCAAGATCGAGCCAACCGTAGAACATTATGCTTGTATAGTCGACATGCTTGCAAGAACCGGAAACTTGTCAAAAGCTTATAGGTTCATCGAGAACATGCCAATTCCGCCGGATGCTACAATCTGGGGAGCGTTGCTGTGTGGCTGCAGGATACATCATGATGTTAAGCTAGCTGAGAGAGTCGCAGAGAAAGTCTTTGAGCTTGAACCAGAGAACACAGGATATTATGTCCTCATGGCGAATATCTACGCGGAAGCTGATAAATGGGAACAAGTAAAAAAGCTAAGAAAGAGGATTGGACAACGTGGATTGAGAAAGAATCCGGGATGTAGCTGGATAGAGATTAAGGGAAAAGTTAACATCTTTGTAGCTGGAGACAGTTCAAACCCGGAAACCGAACAGATTGAAGCCTTTTTAAGGAGCGTAAGAGCTAGAATGAGAGAAGAAGGGATTTCACCGCTGACTAAATATGCATTGATCGATGCGGAAGAGATGGAAAAGGAAGAAGCTTTGTGTGGTCATAGTGAGAAATTGGCAATGGCATTAGGGATTCTTAGCTCTGGACATGGAAAAATCATAAGAGTTACTAAGAATCTAAGAGTTTGTGGAGATTGTCACGAAATGGCCAAGTTCATGTCTAAGTTAACTAGAAGAGAAATTGTCCTTAGAGATGCAAACCGGTTTCACCAATTTAAAGATGGACATTGTTCTTGCAGAGGTTTCTGGTGAAAATCATCAAACCTGTTTCATATACTGTTGTAGTAGTAACTACATTGTTCTTACCAGCCCGGTTTGAGGCTGGAGCGGTCCTGATGTAATCATTGAAACTGAAGAAGCAATTAGAACATGAACAGGCTGTGTCTTGGATGGAGCTATCTATATCTTCATGATAGTATCATTGCTTCAAAGGAAAACATAACCACCATATTTTTTTTCATTTACTCGATTACTTTATACATTCAAGTGTTTGTTAGAACTTTTCAATCATTTACAATTTGGTCAAGGTACTAAATACTAACCAATGACACGTTTCTTTATTGTTTGGATCATTTGAGAACCATGTTCAACCGCATGTGCTGTATTACATATAAACACAACTCATGAGGAACAATGTTTGTTGAAGAAAATAATTGATAAGAATAATTCAATAATTATTACAAAATAATCCTTTTAACCACATACACTTAAAATTACAACAAAATCTGAAAACAAAACCAAAAGACTATAATGTGAAATCAAAGCTGTATAATAATAGCAAATACAAAGAAGACTAAACCGGGATTAGTGCGGAGAACCGGTTCGGTTATTCTCCAAAAAATCATCTTCTTCATCCCATAAGAACCCTAATCTCTCAAATCTCAAAGATTAGGCCTTTTTTTGCTTTTATCTGTATTCACTAACGAATGAGTAGTAAAGATTACACCTTTACTTCTTGAATCAACCACACCATTTGGCGAGAAGGATCATGAAGATGATTAAGAACACGAGAGAAGAAAGTCCAATGGCAACACCAAGCACAACCTTGTTAGGACCATGGTGCTCTTCTTTCTTCTTCTCACTAGTATCATCTTCATTACCGTAATCGTAATCTGAATTCGAATCTTCTTTCTGAGGCGGTGGAGACAAAGGCAAACCATGTTTATCACATTTAGCAATACCCAATTTCATCTTCGATGACAAAACAGTATGGTTGTAGCAAAGATCACTGTTTCCACCGATTTTGAACACTTCGAGATTCTTGATGAAGCTCGCATTGAATGGTAAGACTCCACGGAAGTCATTGTTAGCAAGATTCAGGTGTGTGAGATGCTTCATTTGGGAGATGAATCTCGGAACGGTGCCGTTTAGTTGGTTCCCACTCAGATCTAAGTGTGTAAGCTGTGGAATCGACGAGATTGAATCTGGGATTGGTCCTGATAGCTTGTTGGAGGCTAAAGATAGGTTTTTTAGTGAAATCAGGTCGCCGATGCCGTCGGGTATGTCGCCGGAGATGGAGTTTTTGGATAAATTTAGAGACTTTAGGTTGGAGAGTAGAGTGACCGAAGTGGGTATTGAGCCTTTGAGCAAGTTGTCTGATAAATCGATGAATGTGAGATTGGAGTGGAGCGATTTCGGGATGTTTCCGGAGAGATTTGCGTGTGAGATTGTCAAAGAGACGATCTTTCGCATGTTTCCAAGGATGACAAAGAGGCCAGAGGTTGATACAGGGACAGAGGAGACAGTGAGGTCAGTGAGGTTAACGAGACGAGCTAGGAAGACTCCAGAGAGGCCATTACGGCGGCGGAGGAAGGATGAGACGGCGGTGAAGGAGTGGAGTGACTCAGGGAGACGTGGAGGAGGCGAGAGAGATGGGCAGTTGAGGAAAGAGAGAGATGTGAGAGATGGGGAGAGAGCTCTGAGAGCTGTGGAGGAGATAGAGAGATCGGATGAGCAATTCGTGAAGGAGATTGAAGTGACGAGGCGAAATGGGGAGCTAGTGTCGCATGTTACGACGGAGGAGGAGGCGGATTTGGAGGTGGTGGGACGGTGGTTGCAGGGATCTTTGACGGTGGGGATGTTGAGAGATTCGAGGGCTTTGAGTTGTTTTGGGTCTAATGGGGAAGTAGAGGAGGAGGGTGGTTTTTTGAGAGGTGGAATGGGAGATGTGGTCGGAGCAGGGGTTGGAGAGAGGGAAGGAGCGGCGGAGATAGTGGCTGAGAGGTGGAGGAGGAGGAGGAGTAACGGTAATGACGAAGTTTTCATGGTGAAGAAAGAAAGAGAGAGAGAGAGAGAGAGAGAGAGAGAGAGAGAGATTGAGAAAGAGAAGGAAGTGTGTCAGAGAAAGTAAAAGAGAGAAAGAAGAAGAAGAAGAGAAGAGAGAAAGATTGGATTTTTTTTCAAAGATGGGTCATGTGACAGTTGGGGTTTTGTATACTTTTTAGGCTTCTGTTTTGGTTTAATTACGATACTGACCTTCTTCTAATCTTCTTCTTTCAAGAATTTTTCTTTCTTTCTTTGCCATTTCATTCCACTTTTGAACTTTATGTTGTTGCATTAATTGATTCTCGTAAGGCTTTTGTTAGTTAAACTGTGGTTTGTGGATAGGGATTCTCTTGTTGTGAATTTTGTGAAATGTGTTACCCATTTGGAGAAGTTTTGACAAATGTAAAATGGAAATGCTTCTTTGGGGTACGTAAAAAAAAGACTAATGTCCAAAGAAGGTAACAGTTATGTTAATGTTACTGACACAGAATTGTTTTAGTAGCTTTTTTACATGTACTCTGTTTGATTGTAACCATTCATTCATTCTAAGAGTATCTCCAACCCACCTCTATTTTATAGAGATTGCTATTTTTATCTCTATATATAGAGGAACTCTATTTTTTCCTCTATAAATTAAATAAAGGTGAACTATTTTCTTACAAAATAGTCCTTTTAATCTCAAACTTCTTTTATTTATGACCAAAATAAATAAAATAAATATATTTAATAACTAATAATAATATAAAATATTTTAAAGGTTTCAATATAAATATATATTCTAAAATTTGACACTACCATTTGCAAAAGTTAATATATATAAATAATAGATTTTATTTTTAATATTCTAAAATTTGAGACTACCATTTGCAAAAGTTAATATATATAAATAATATATTTTATTTTTATTGAAGGAAAAAAAGATTTTATTTTTTCATTTATTCCATAATAATACTTCTAATACCAAAAAAATTACTTAATATTCTCCTAAATTACTTTAATACTTTTGATTTGAAAGGACCAGTACGTTTTTGGAAAAAAATGTGTTACATGACATAATAACTACATGTATAATTTTACATAATATGATAATTGAGGATGAGCGTGATCTCGATGCACCGATTGAAGTTGAAAGAGAAATTCCACCTCCAGCGGTCCAAATAACAGAAGATGATGATATTCGTTTCCAAGAGTTTCTAGGTCGATTCAGAAAAATAAAAGATAAAAAGCTCATTTCTCACTTCGAAATACATTAGTTGATCATTTGTGGGAAAAATACACTTATGCTGATGGTTAAGAATCTAGTATCTTATTACTTTTTTATATAGTGTGATGTACTTTTCATTAAAAAATAATATATAATATAATGTTTTTATAATAAATGTTTAATTTAAATAAAAATAATTATTTTATTAAAATTTTATAAAAGTTAAAGTAAATGGGTTAATTTGCAACTTTTATAAATAGATGGTGTTAATATTAAGATTTTAAAAGAATCTATTTGGAATATTCTATTATAGAAGAAAAAATAGAGGAAACCATTGGAGCAAAAGTCACCTCTATTCTAGAGTTCCTCTATAATAGAGGAAAAAATAGCAAAAACCATTGGAAATGGTATAAAATCTATAAAGAAAGAGTATAAAATAAGGTATATATCCGTTACCAAAATGCTAATTTAGCGGATGCTCTCAGCTCTCAGCTCTCAGCTCTCTGCTCTGTGGGATTGGATCGGGTGTATGTGTAAATGTAATAATAAGTCTCTCTATTGATTAGTTTTACTTTTGTAAAAAGAAAGAAAAATTCATCGATATTAGCATAAGTCCAGTCCTTATGCATTTGAGAGTGGCGACAAGAAGAATATTATAGGAATCATCTTTTTATTTGTAACCCCCAAATACATTAATATAAAGGTTTCAGACAGAACTTATATTTAGGAAAAGAAAACAAAACATGCATGAACTAAAATGAACTAAACAAGTGCATGTACAAATTCAGACACAAACTAAATAAATATCAATCAAAAATACATAGAACACACACATATGTTATTGAGTTTATGCCCTGATGAATTTTCTCAGCTGGTTCAAGCATATGTTTTTGGTTCTCGTGCAGACAGAAGATAATACTTACGTCTCAAGCAACCACGTGAGCTAGGTTTATGGGCTCATGAAACTCATGTATTAAGTTTTTACCCCATCAATTAAGCTATATATACTATATAATAGTCTATATGATTAATATACAAACTCCTATAAGAAATTACGAATCCAAAACTAAAGCTAGTACGGTAGTACTACATATACCTGATACTATTCCTAAATAGTCATTACACTCCGATCCTTGTCCTTGGCCTTTAAAATGGTAATTACATCTTTGTTGACTAAATTAATAGACTTTTATATATATAAAAAATCTAACTAAACATAATTAAAATATTGACAATAAATGAGTTGTTAACACATTAAAAACTAGATTAAATTCCTACTAGCGTTTTCACAAACATTCAACTATGTTTACCCCAAATTCAACAACACCTAATGTGTAACGTCAACACCGATTATAATCTCATTTCTAACTTGATTTTTAATATATTTTAAAATTTCCATCATAATTTCAGATGAAACAATTTTGAAAATAAACAATTCACTTGAACTATATTTACTTTATTAGTAATATCTCTATTTTTTCTTCATCATAAACTAAGTTTAAAGTTGGAAATGAATTTACTTTTTTTTTTCCTCACTTTTATGTAAAAACATGTTTTTAGAAAAAACACCAACATGGTTAAGCATTTAAGGATTAACTAATTAAATATATATATATATATAAAATCACACTAATGCTACCAACAAACTCCAAACGTTAGATTTCTATTCCATAACAAATTTAAGGGTATAGTAAAAACACACATTAAATGTCTTTTCTTTCTTCCCCTATATCTTACAAATACGAGAAAGAGAACAAAGCTTAACACAAAGACGTCAAAGGAGCTTAACCCTTTTCCTTTTTTTTTACTAATTAATTAGTTTTTTTTTTTGGTTCTCCTTTCCCAAAAGAAGATGGAGAATTTCGTCGACGAGAGTGGTGGTTTCGTTCCTCTAAACCAAAACATCTTCACACGTGACCAAGAACACATGAAAGAAGAAGACTTCCCATTCGAAGTCGTCGACCAATCAAAACCCACAAGCTTCCTTCAAGACTTTCACCATCTTGATCATCATCATCAGTTTGATCATCATCATCATCATCACCAAGGCTCATCATCTTCAAACCATTTGCTAGGTCTCCAAACGACGTCTTCTTGCATCAACAATGCTCCTTTCGAGCATTGCTCTTACCAAGAAAACATGGTCGAGTTTTATGAATCTAAACCACATTTGACGATGAACCATCATTTCCAAGCTCCGGAAAATCCAACGTACTTCACTCGTAATCATCACCATCATCATCATCAAGAGATCAATTTGGTCGATGAACATGAACATATGGATTTGGAGCAAAACAACATGATGATGATGAGGATGATCCCTTTTGATTACCCTCCTACTGAGACCGTCAAACCTATGAACTTGGTGATGCCAGATGAGATTTCATGTGTTTCTGCGGATACTGATTGTTATAGAGCGACGAGTTTCAACAAGACCAAACCATATCTTACACGAAAGTTGTCTTCTTCATCTTCATCATCATCATGGAAAGAAAAGAAAACGTCAACCTTAGTCAAAGGACAATGGACTGCTGAAGAAGACAGGTTTGTTAAACATTAACATAATAAACTTAATAAACAATTCACATAATCAAGATTTATTATAAAATTGCACCACTCAAATGGTGCACTCCTCCATACTTTTTTTGCGGAATTGCGATTTATACGTATTTATATAATTCTGCAAGATTAATAACAGCTATTGTATGGATTTTGTGACACTTTAGTTATATTAAGTTTTACTATTTTGGCTTATAATAGGATATTGATTCAACTCGTGGACAAGTATGGATTGCGTAAATGGTCGCATATCGCTCAAGTGTTACCGGGAAGGATCGGGAAACAATGTAGAGAGAGGTGGCATAACCATTTGAGACCTGACATTAAGGTATATTAACTAGTACAGCTATGATCATGTAATGATGATAGGGAGGACTAATTTTAAATATTGTTTGCAGAAAGAGACATGGAGTGAAGAAGAGGACAGAGTGTTGATTGAATTTCACAAAGAGATTGGAAACAAATGGGCAGAGATTGCAAAAAGACTCCCTGGAAGAACAGAGAACTCAATCAAGAACCATTGGAACGCTACAAAACGAAGACAGTTCTCTAAAAGAAAGTGTAGGTCTAAGTATCCAAGACCTTCTCTGTTGCAGGACTACATCAAGAGCTTGAACTTGGGAGTTCTGTCAGCTTCATCTGTTCCTGCAAGAGGTAGACGCAGAGAGAGTAACAAGAAGAAGGATGTTGTGGCTGCGGTTGAGGAGAAGAAGAAGGATCAAGAGGAGATCTATGGAGAAGACAGGATTGTGCCTGAATGTGTGTTCACTGATGACTTTGGATTCAATGAGAAGTTGCTTGAGGAAGGATGTAGCATTGACTCTTTGCTTGATGACATTCCTCAGCCTGACATTGATGCTTTCGTTCACGGAATCTGATTTGTATTTTTTCTTTGTTTGTCTCAGCTTTCTTGTTTTTGGTTTTCTTTTTTATACGAGACAGATTCCACCAAACACTAATAATTTGAAAAATATAAAAATACTTTGATTTTTAAACATGTTGTAAGTTGAAATAAAGAGAAACCTAACTTGCAGAAATAAGAACAGTACCTAACTTGTGGCTCAGGTAACCATATGAGATAACTTCTCTCACAAGTGAGAAAAATTTACAAACAACCAAAAACAGATCATCATCAATCGTTCAAAATACAAACATCTTCTCTTAGCAATCAATCAAAAGACAGTTCTGAGAAAGGGAGGTCGTATCGGTTTTGGAGACGAAAGGATTGATACGAACCCAAACAAGTGAAAACACAGAAGCAAGCAAGATAGACCAGAGAATAACAATGGTGGGTGTTCTGTTTTGTCTTCCCATAAGACCTTTGAGGAAAGGATAAAGATGAAGAATCACCCAAAAGGCGAAAAACACTTTCCCAAACAAAGGTCCCCAAGCTTCATAACCTTTGTTTAAAGCATCAGAGAATCCAGCAACGACTCCGACCAAGTTTATTATGAGAAGTGATGTCGGAGGGATCAAGAGAGTTGTCCATTTGACGATGTATAGCTCACCGAATTCTAAATCGTCTGCGGTTTTTGACGTGACTGTAAAATTTGTGTCAAGACCGGCTAGCATTTTGAGGAATCCTTGGAAAACGGCGAAGAGATGAGCTGAGACTCCTCCAATAACCCAAAACTGTTCGTTTCTCCATAAGTCTTCAATGCTAACTCCGCTCCATCGAAGCTCGAGGACACTTGTTAATATAATCGATATGAAGAGACCAAGAAACAGCATGCTTGCTAGGTTTGATAGCTGCAATAAAGAACAGCAAACAAAATATCAAATCCAATCAATAGATTTCAAGAAGCATAAGTAATATAGAGTACTTGAGCATATAAACGGCACTGGACCATAAGTGAACCAAATTAATTAGTAGTATGAAGTGTTGAGTATGTTACCGTTGGGATGATGAATTTGCCGGTTAGAAGGCAGATAGCAGGAAGAGTACAGTAAGCAACAAGAGGCAAAGAAGTGAATGGATAAACAATTGTGTTTATATAAGCTAATCTCTGGAGCAACTTGAGGCGGCCACCGCTGCAACCATACCAGAGAGGACAATGCCGGCTAAGGAAGATCTCGACAGAGCCAAGGGCCCAACGCAGAACCTGGTGAAGCCTATCTGATAGATTGATAGGAGCAGATCCTTTAAAAGCCGGTCTTAATGGCATACAGTAAATAGACCTCCATCCGCGACAATGCATCTTAAAACCCGTCAAAATGTCTTCCGTGATTGATCCGTAAATCCATCCGATCTGCGAAAACAGAATAAAAGGTTATGAATTTATTAACAAGAAGATTTCAAAGATAAGATCTTTGATAACTTTGATTCCAAGAAACCAAAACTTACTTCTTTTCCCCATTCGGATTTTTCTTCATATCCGCAGCTAATGACATGAATAGCTTCTTTGATGAGCGTTGAGGGGTTTACAGAGTCAGGAACACCGCCATTCTCCATAAGAGTAGACTCGATGAAAACCGCAGAGAGACCAAACGTTTTCTCAAAACTTGTTTGTGAAATCAGCATCGATCTTTCATACTCATCGTAGTTGTCTAGGTCCCCAAGATTAAAGATTGCAGCATCAAGTTCTTCTCGCTTTGCGTCTTTGTATAACTCAGAAGGATCTTGGGGTTGTTTCTTCTTAGTTAGACAGCAACAAGATGAGGAAGAAGATTGCGGTAACATTCTTGGTTTAGAAGGAGGACTATATCCGTAAAGTGCTTGTCTTCTAAAGACAGTACCTGTACCAACATAAACTGGACCTTGAATCCCATCAAGCCCTCTCATATTAACCTGTAATCATCAAATCAAAGACCACAATTATATCAGAAGAAAGCCTAAAACTTGCTTGAACTTAGCATATGAGTTTGAATATTGCGATAACTTACATCGAAGAAAACTATGTTGCGGTTAGCATATCGATCACTCTTGTCGATTCCATCAAATCTCTGTGGGAATTGAACAAAGCAAACGTCTTGACCAACAACAGGATCCATTAGAAAGCACATTGCTTCACGCACGGCTTTGCTATTGTTGACGTAGTGATCACAATCGAGGTTAAGAATGAATGGAGCATTTGTTAAAACCGCAGATACCCTCACCTACGAAGAGAAAAATCATTAGGATTGTGTTACATTATGTAATGATACGTTATCCATTAAAAAAACAACAACAAGAATTTAAATTTTTACCAATGCGTTCTCTGCCCCTGCCTTCTTGTGATGCTGATATCCAGGTCTTTTCTCTCTAGAGACGTAAACTAATCTTGGAAGTTCGTTTCCTTCAATGTCACGAGCACCACTATAGCCAAGAAAAACCTGCAAGAAGAAGAGACATGATCAAGAACTCATCAAATATCTTCTTAATGTAAGATACAATCATTGTAAAGAAAAGGCAGAGCCTTAAGTGTTTAAGATTGCAAACCTGAATCATCCCGGGATGGTCACGAGTATTGTTTCCGGGCCATGATGTTCCATCTTGCATTGTCCATCCTTCTTCTGGTGTCTTTTGAGCCTTGGCGACTAAAGCATTCATTCTGATCTTGAACTCCTCATACTCCCTCTACAACAGGAGAAATCAGAAATAAGTTTTCAATTGCAATTTGTTAGATAGTGTTATGAGCTCTTTCTTACTTACCTTCATGGCTCTACGTTCTTTTACGAAAGAAGGTTGAACTTTATCCCTCAAGTAATCGATTTTAAGCGAGAAGTAAAACTCGGGAGCTCGTGGTTCGATTGAGTACTTTTTGCAAAATGGTACCCATTTCCTAGCAAAATCTGCTGTCTCAACTAAAGACTCAAACGAAAGCATTGCAGCACCATCATCAGATACATAGCAAGAGACTTTATCCACAGGATAATCCAGGGCAAGGATCGAAAGAACCGTGTTTGCAGTGATCAAAGGTGGCTCCTTTAATGGATCAACTGTACTAACAAAGAAATCTACAGCTGCAAGCTGTGATTGCTCGCCTTCTCTTTCGAATCTGCATAGTTTGACAATGCTTACATAAGACTTAAAGATTTGTACCACCGCGAGATGCAGCATACAATGGTTATGAAAGATTGGTACCTTGCGGATAACCGATCAATGTAAGTTTCTCGGTTAATAGGAGACCACTTAGGGAACTGATCCAACACCCATGAAACAGCAAACCAAATCTCACATATCACAGATGTTAGCCATAAACCGTAAGCACTATCGACAGGATGAGTGATCCGGTAGTTGAAGAACAGAGCCAAGATGACTAATCGCATGATGATAACGATCCTGTATGAAGTGATCTTTGTCCTTGGAATAGGAATCACAACCGAAAGCACATCTGTAGCACCAGCCTCTGTGTTCCTGAGAATACAAATGGCACAGACCAAAACCAAAGTCTCAAACTTTCTGATGAATGTATAACAACACAAACCTTATATTCGATTAGTACAAGGATTAGTGCTTACGGTGGCATATCTTCCATGTGCTGTTGAGGAGGAATCTGAGCATCATGTTCTTCAGCTTTTGTTGCTTTTGCATCTTTCTTCTTCTTCTTGCTCTTCTTGTCTTTCTTGTCTTTCCAGCTCTCAACTCTGTTCTTCCATATTGGATTCCCATATTCATCATTCAGATCTTCAACAAAAAAATCACAATCTTCAAGTTAGTTAAACCATTTAAACGCTTTGAGAAAATTGGTTTTGCTTCTTTATTCGTTCTCTTACCACTGTCAATTGTGGAGACTGTACTTATATGTCTAGCATGAATCCCAGAATCCTGCAAAAACTCAAGACAAGTTATCAAATCAGTTTTTGCAAAATCTAATTAAGACATAAAAGCAACTAATCATAGCACACACACACACCTGAGGAGTGTTATTGATATGTGTTGCAATGGTGGATTGAGTTTTAGATGTCTTTGTCTCAACATCATCAAACACATTCTCTGAGAAACAAAAACCCCCAAAACTGTTAATACCATTAACCAAAAAAAAAATGTAAACTTTTGAAGAAAATTTTCAAATTTATGAAAACCCATTTGCAGTAATCTGATTTTACCATCGTAGGGATTGCCACAACGCAGACAAATTCTTCGACCTTCTTTGAATTCATACTCAAGACACGCTTTGCAGATCGGGAAACTACACTCATGACAAGCCACAAAGAACTCTCCATTGGATTTAACACCAATATCTTCACCGCAAGTGTTGCAGATCGGAGACCTAGACTCCATCATTTTCGAAATTCCCCTGTTTGGAGAAAACAGAGAGGGAGGTAATTTAAAAAGACAAAAACCCTAACTAGGGATTGAGATTTGGATGGGTAACGAGTTTGAGAAGCCATGGAGTTGAGGTTTTGTAAGAGACGAAAAAAAGGATTAAACAAAGTTTGGTGGACTGTGAAAAAAAAAAATCGGAAGTTGACAAGTTTCTTTCTGAGAAAGCTGATGGGTAAGCTAACACAAGACTCTGTTTAAGTTGGCAAAGATGACTACTTTGAAATGATTTTTGCGGGAAAGTGAAGGAAAGTTTCAGTTAACACAAGACACATATCGCAGTCTCTAACCAGCGGTAGATATGATATTTGCTTGCCTCCTAAGCGTCACCATACTTCTATATCAAGCGAACATATTTTACAATTTTTAGATTTATAATATCTAATTTTTTTAGTATAAATAATTATATACGACAAAATTTATATAAAATTAGCCTCACCTTCTAATTTTGTACTTCTTCGCTATGTTACATGATTCTACTCTACATTTGCTATGTTAAAACAAAACTCTTAACAAATCAATCTACAATCTTCGCCGATTCGGTCTTTGCATCATCTCACATCTAAGTTTCCTCTGGTCGACTGTCTAAAATCAAATCGACGAGCAAATGCAGCAAAAACATCTCTCATAATTGACCAGTCCGCTTCTGCCTTTGCTCAGATTAGTTAATAGAGCTATGGGTTTCTACGTCTCTGTGGAAACAACTCTCTGTGACATTTCTAAGCTCGACCAAGAAGAAGATTGTGAGCTTCTATAGGAAACAAGATAGATGATGAAACTGATGTACCCAACTATTCCAGCGAAAACCAGAAACCCAACAAGAAACCCTTCCACTTCAGCCATGAAGAAATCAAGAAGAAGATACCCATTTATCATCATCACAAACACCGCCACAGTCCACGCAAGCTTCTGCAAAGATCCCAACTCACTCGTTACAATCGAAAACACGTTACAGAGAAAAGAGAGATGAAAAAGTTGGCTTACCTCTAGGGAAGGTCCAATCTTGAAGACACCCATGATATGTTCTTTAGAAACCATAGTCAGAAGAGGAATAACCGCGAAAGGAATCTGCATCGATTGGAGAATGTTAAGCCATTCGTTTAAAACATCAAGCGAGCCCTCCGATGTGTTAAACATAAGAGCAACAATCATTGTAGGTACAATCGCAAAGCTTCTTGTTATAAAAGCTGATAGCCATTGCTCCATCTGAAGATCCAAGAACCCTTCCATTATAAACTGTCCAGCATAAGTCCCAGTTATAGTACTGCTTTGTCCAGCAGCTAATAAACCGATTCCCCAAATGTAAAGTATCGGGAAAACCCCACCGCCATATTTCTCCTGAAGGTAATGTCCTGCGTTAACCAGTCCTATACTATCAGCTTGTTTGGTTCCATAAAAACCTTTAGCGAAAACAGCTGTTACAAACAGATTGATCATGAACGAGACAAAAAGTGCAGCCGTTGATTCGATTGTATAGTAGTTAAGAGCTTCCTGAACTCTGTTAATCTCCTTTGGATTCGTCTTCCTAGACTGCACTAAAGCCGAATGCAAGAACACATTGTGAGGAGTTATCACACATCCCACAACTCCAACAGCTTCTCTTATCGTCTTTGATCCGAGCTTCGGAACAATAATACCTTTCAAAGTCATCAAGATTAAACCAAAATCAAGAAACTGCATCAAATTAGAGACAATTCTGAGATCTTACAAACTTTGTTTTGAACTTACCTATGACTAGTTCTTCTACACTTGGCTTAGTTTCATTAAACATCCAAGCAAAGGAAAGAGCCATCGTCGCAATCAAAACCGCGAAAAAACCTTCTAATTTCCTCATTCCACAATTCTCCAAATACGAAATCAAGAAGCTGTTATTTTCACAAGAACACCAAATCAATCACATGACTAATTAAGCTCATGCCTCAATTTTTCACCATAATTTTGCTTACCAATCAAACGCAGTGATGATAACACCAACCCAAATTGGTAAAAACCCTCGAGTCAAGATCTGAAGAGCAATCGCGCTTCCGATGACTTCTTGAATATCAGCTCCGATCAAAGCAACCTCCGCCATGAACCAAAGCAAGATCCGCGCCCACGCTGGGTACTCGTTTCGGCAAATCTCCGCCAAATGTCGACCCGTCGCGACACCAATCCGAGCAGAGAGAAGCTGCATCAGAAGTCCCATTAACGTAGCCCATAGAAGAAGCCATAGGAGAGAGTACCCAGCCACAGCTCCGGCTTGTAGATCTCCTTCGATGTTTCCTGGATCTAAGAAGGCGATGCTCATTAGAAACCCAGGTCCGGTGAATTTCCATAGCTTCGCCCATGAGAACGGAGGAACCGAATCGTAGCTGTTGTCTCTCTCTTCTTCTACGTTCAGGATTTGATTCTCCTGTGGCGATTCGCGGCGCTCGTCCTCCTCCGGCTGAGAGGTTTCGGGAACTAATAGACGTTTGAATTCGCCGTTACTCTCGTTAGGTTTCTTAGGGCTGTTTTCTTGGCGGGAAACGGTAGAATCCGTCATCTTAGTAACGGAATATTTTTTTGGCGTTACTGACGACGTGATTTTTTTAAGGAAATTTTAAATTTTACATGGATTTCTTTTGTTTTACTAATTAAAAGTCAAGGAAAGTCAAAATGATAAAAACAAAAAGGTCAATTTACTAAAATTGAATTATAAATGTTGTCAAGAAATTCTAATTTTAGAGGCTGAATCAGTGATCGAGAATTTAGGATTTGATCATCTTCTTTTGTTTTTTCTATGTTGATATAACAAAAAAAATTAGTTGTTCTCTTCAAGAATTAGCACTATTAAGTATTGGTTTAGAGATAGTTTCGGATTGGATAGAAAACAAACAGGCAAAACCAACCATAGATTGGAACCGGTTAAATTACAAAATCCCTTAACCGGTACAGTTGTACCAGACTAAGCAATGTTCAAGCAAGCAAAATCAAAAGCATAACATAGATTTGTTTCCTAAGAAAGCAAACATCTTCAAAAGAATTTTGAATGTAAAGAAAAGGAGAAGCAAAACCCGATCTTAGCTTTGAGGATGAGGAGGATACAGAGCCAAATCCCTCAGTCTGTAGTCTTTTAGTTGGAGCAGCAACCGGTTTTCTTCACAGCGGAAACATCAACATCGATTTTCTCTCCTTTAGAAGGAACATTGCTCGAATCCTCGCCAGCCTCCATTGCTTTCTTGCTCACGACATGGTAGATCTGAGTGAGAACTTCAGAAAACGCGTTCTCAACATTGGTAGATTCAAGCGCTGAGGTTTCCATGAAGTAGAGTGATTCATTCTCTGCAAAAGATTTTGCATCTTCAGTTTGGACTGCCACAAGATGGCGAAGATCGGATTTGTTTCCCACAAGCATCACAACAATGTTTGGGTCGGTATGGTCGCGGAGTTCCCTTAGCCATCTCTCAACGTTTTCAAATGTGGAGTGTCGGGTTACATCGTAGACAAGAAGCGCCCCAACAGCTCCTCGGTAGTATGCACTAGTGATTGCTCGGTATCTAAAAATAGCAGAGAGAGGAGAGACGGTAAAAAAGCGTTAAAGATATAGTCAGCAAAATTCTTGTTAGACAAGAAAGATAACACATTAGAAGACATGGAACATCAAAGCAATAAGCTTTGGTAGAAACTGGTAAAATAAAGAAACCTATATACGATTACACTCAATCCTAAAGACCCCTAAACACCAGAAATAAGAATTAAGGAACATAAAGACAATGAATTAGCTTCTCTACCTAAGACAGAAATTTCGATACTACAGGACATCATCGAGCACTGATCGATCAAACTAATCAACAAAACAGCATAGATTTTACAAAACTGATAACGTAAAGCATAATCATTGGGTTCTCTCCTTGTAAACAAACAACAACGTTTCACTTCATCTCTAGAGTAATTACACAATTACAGGCGTCTTTTTCAAGCTTCCTTTACGATACACTAAGACAGATCTAAACATAGTATCAGCTCCATTTGAGCTCCTTTGGCAATTGAACAAAACATAAACACCACAGTCTCCACTGATCCAAAAAAAGCACAAAGTTGTTTGCTTAATCTAACAATTCTGTTTTATTGGTGTTGAATCCACAATGCATCTAAAGGCCAAGACTTTAATAAAACCCAGATCGAGAAATGAAGAAATGAACACGAAAAAAAGTAAGAAGAGAAGAAATCAGAAGAGACGAAGCTTAAACCCACCTTTCTTGACCAGCAGTATCCCAAATCTGGGCTTTGATAACTTTCTCATTAACATTCAAGCTACGAGTCGCGAACTCGACCCCGATGGTGGATTTAGACTCGAGACTAAACTCATTCCTGGTGAATCGAGAAAGCAAATTGGACTTTCCAACACCAGAATCACCGATCAGAACCACCTTGAAAAGGTAATCGTAATCATCATCTGCTCTGTAACCCGCCATTTAACACTTCTCACACAATAAAAGCTTCACACACTTTGATCCACGAAATCTAATAGATAGAGGACAAAGACGAACACTTTGCCCTTCTTTAACCCCAAAAAAAAAAAAAAGCTTCCCTTTGATTTCACTTTTTCTCTTTAGATTCAAAATTTTTCCCTCAGATTTCCACAGAAAGACAGAGACTTTGAATAAAGGTTAGGTTAAGACTTGTGTCTTTCCCCTTTCTAGCTGTACCTTAATCACCCATAGATTTTCTTGGTGAAAAAATTGCCTGCAGTTACTAAAATACCCCGCCTTAACTCATCTGATGATCTATGCTCAGAGCACTGAGACAAGGGGTAGATCTGACATTTCGTTGAGGTTTTTGTATGTATATTGTTTAAATGCTTTCATTTTCTTGAAAAGGTCACAGAGTGGTGGTGGTCATGTTACATTGGTAAACGGCGATAATTCAGTCACTCTCAATTTCGATAAAAACAAAACGATGTTGATCATCATCTTATTAAGAAATGAAACATTTGTGGCTCTTTGTAATAAACAAACCCAATGGGTTCAATACATACATACTATTATTGAAGCCCATATGAGTTTTTAATTTGAACTTTTACAATTATATAGTATTTGAATTCTTTTGAGGTTTAAGCTCAATACACACATTTGCCATGTGAAAGAGCTCAATGATTTTTAATTATGAAATCCCAAAAACGCATCTGTACATTAGAAAAGAAACAAAAGAAGGAGAAAAAAAAAAGAACAGAGACAAAGGTTCTGTGCTCCTCCCCACTCATCCTCCATTATTTACAAAAGAATCCATTATTTTGTCATTACCATAAAAGTCTCCATCGAGCTTTTTCCTTCATGTAACCCTCCAATCAAAAAGTTTTCCCCATATTTTATTTTAGTTTTATAGAATGTCTGAATCTTCCTCATCCCCACCTCCATCTTCATCTTTCTCTGTTTTAACTCAGAACGTACCAAAACCAGTTTCAGACAAACTTCTTCAGAAGTACACTGATGTGTCTGAGTTTCAGTTCGATTACCAGACAAGCGGAATATGGTCTCCGCCGTTTCAGCGCAGTGCTTTTCTTACACCACAAGGCAAAATTCTCACCGACAAAGAAATGGCAGAGAGATTTCAGAATCTTGTACAACCTCCTCCACGGATCAAAAGGTACAATCTTTATTGTTGTCGTGAGTAAGCTTTTGTAAATCTAATCTACAGACTACAATGTACGAATCCGTATATATGGAATATACAAACAGGTTTCTTCACGACTCTTTTGTTGTTGTTTTTAATACTTTTCAAAAGACTTTTAAGACGAAGAAGAAACAAACAAAAAAAAGAGTTCCTTCATAAAAAAAGAAAACTTGGTTTAAACTGCAGCAGCGCTCTGTTCTAGAGCTTCTTTACCGGTGATTCCATCTTTCAAATTCTTGAAATACTCATTGTAGTCTTTCTCCGGTGGAGGGTTCTCAGGATCTACCGTGAAGGGCTCACTAAAGGGAACTGTACTTTTGACCTGAAACAAACAACACACAAAACAGCCCAATTCAGAAAATTTAACATCAAGAAGTAAAAATCCAAACATGTTATTGTCATAAATTCTTTTAATACCTCGAATGTCTTGTTTAGAGCAGATGGGCTTTCCAATGCAGCGATGCATATACGTGCTACTTCGTCTCTTGATACCTTCCCCTATATAATAAACCCGAAGTTGGTTATGTTAGTTCACTTAAAAGAGTTTTGGTTTCAAGGGGAAGCAAAACTGAAATACCGTAATGTTGTCTCCTTGTTCGAAAATGAGATCCGCTCCGGCAGGCTCTTCTGTTAAAGCACATGGCCGTACAATTGCATAAGGAATCCCGCTATCGCGGATCAGATCCTCCCCCTATTCATCCAAAAAAAGCAGAGCTCTAACATCTGGTGAAAGTGACTGCTCCAAAATTCTGCAAAGAAAATAGTATAGAGACACACCTTTAACTTGTAAGTGAGAATGAAATCAAGCTCCTTGTTTAATCTCACAGCCGGAGGTTGTCTGCTTAGATCCAAACCGGGTCTCTCTGGTCGGGTCACTCCCGCAGAGCCAACATGAACAAACCTGTAATAGTAAGTAACAAAATGCCCAATTCAGCATTTAGTGAAGAATTTGGTTGCTAAACTGCAACAAACTAATTCAGACCTTGGAGTGACAGGCTCTTGGATATAAGCTCGAATGCTCGATAAAGGAAGCTCAAAATGTCCTTCTTTGAAAGTAGGGTTAAGCTTACCGTCATACTCAAATTTGCTAAACATAAGCTGAAAAACAATTGAATTGAATCAAACATTTTTAAAATGGAAATGTTAAAAGAGTTGATAGAAAAGGGTAAACAAACCTGTAATGAAATGATACTGCTTGCATTAAAAGGAGGTGCATCTGTCACTGTACGTGCGCGAAATACAGGTCTTAAAGACGAGAAAGGTAAGCGTATCTGCAATTTGAATTAACAGAAATATAACTTATCTAACCATACAAGTATATTGATAATGTATGACAAAAGTGATTTTACTTACAGATTGCCATTGGCCTGGTGAAGTGTCAAAACTAGCAGTGTAACCAACAGTATCCCAATCTTGGCTTGTCCGGACGATTAGCTTGTAACGGAGTCCATCACCTTTTAGTCGTAGCTCTAGACCATCATATGCCGAAACATTCTCTGCCTCGGGAAAGTTCTAGAAGGAAATTTTAAGTAAGACTCCTGCTGCAGTGAGATAACGAAGAATAAGAGAGATTAGAGAGATTCTGACATTAAGTCATACCCTTTACCTTGGTTCGGACACTCGTAAATCCGCCATTATTTGTTGTTGAAACAATTCCTAACAAAATATGTTATGTTTATATAAGTAAGACCCTAAGAGAAGAAAAATGGCAATAGATTTGTTATATCATCAAACCTTTGAAAATCCCTGTAGGTCCACCGTTTTCACCAGCAGTTAGATCTATTAGGAAGTTACTTTCGCTAACACCTCCCATTACGACATCATCCAAGGCTCCCCAAGGTAGATCTTTAAACGTGTTATCTAAACAAAACCATGGGGGAAACCATTATAAAATGGCCATTACAAATTTACAAGTTAAAAGCCTAATCAAGTGACTTGACTTAACTTACCCCCAACACCGAAAATAAGCTTCCCATTCTCAAGTCCAACACCATCTCTAACAGCATTGATTAAGTTCTTCATTCCAATATATTCAACTAACTCAGGGGAGTCGCCTTTTATCTGTGCATCCCCAAAATCTAATGGTTTAGTATTGTTGAAGATTGATCAC